CCAGGGCTTCTAGCACGATCGTGGTTTCCCTCCAGCCGCGGAGACCCCCTCAGCGGAGGAGAGGCCGGGAGGTCGTGTGCCCCATCACCCCGAAGCGGGTGCCACGGTGGCCCTCCAGCGCCCCTCTCCCCAGCCTGTGCGGCCAGTGGGAGGTGTTGTGCGACGTACCTGGAGGATGCCCTACCTGGGCATTGCTTGGGGCCTGGTTACCTGAAGGAGTGCCTCCTTCCCTATGTGCCAGCCTGTCCCTGAAGATCTGGGGCGGGCGCCCTTCTCTGGGCGCCTTCCCTGAAGGAGAAGGCGGCTCCCTGGAGTAGGGCCTTCTCTGCAGTGGCACCCCGATCGTGGCATTCGCTCCCCTGAGAGGTTCGCCCGGTGCCATCTCTTCTTCTCGGTGCCAGGCCAACCCTTTTTTATTTCCCCAACCTTTTAAGACCCGATTGTTTTAACTGGGGTTTATTATTAGTCATATTTTAGGATGCTGTGTTAATTTTTTTAGACATTTTGTACTGTCAGACTGTCCCGAGACTTCGGTAATGGGACGGTCTAGAAAAGTTCTAAATGAAATAAAGAAAGAGACCAAATGCGCGGAAGGCCATTCCGTGCCGCCCGCTGGCAGAGCGGAATTGCACGTGCCGCCTGCAAAGAGTAGGACGGAGGAGCCGCTGCTTCATCCCAAGCCGGGCCGTTGCCTTGCCTCCCTCCGTCGATCCCAGGAAGTGGCTCTTCCAGTTTCCAGAGCGTCTCCCTTGCTCTGCCTAAAGAGGCTGGGGGCAGGGGGGGGGGACACCTGGGACTCTCCGACCCGAAGCTTTGCTCCGCCACGGAGCAGGGCTTCCCCACGGAGCGCGACACCAGCAAACCCGTTGAGCTTCCTTCGGCTTTGGCGGGGGGATTGTGGAGGACCCCTCCCCTGGACAGGCCTGGCTCCTTGTCAGGGGGCCCTCTGGCCCTCGCCTGGCACCCGGGTCAAGACAGAGCGCAGCTCTGCCTCGGCTGAGACCCCGTGCAGGTTCAGACAGGGGGGGGGGCTGAAGGGTGCCGAAAGCTGCCCCCCAAGCGAGCAGAAGCCTTCGGCAGCTTGTTGAGGGCTGCTGGGGCGAACGCCCGGAAACGGCGAAGCAGCGGCGTCGGTAGCAACTTCTTCCAAGTGCTGCATGTCCTCCCTCACCTAATGCACATTTTGATTTGGAGAGAGCAGCCGGGCGAGAGAGCGCGGAGAGGGAGGGCAGCCACGGCCCTTTCAATATTTTCCCTGAGTAATTACCCCTCTGCGCTGCCTCCCCGGCAATTGCCTCAGGCCCCGCGAACGAGAACAGTTTGGCCGAACTCCGGTCCGGTCCGGAGGCACACGACACGCTCGGCCTGAGTCCGGACGCCCGTGCCCGGTGTGCCGCTGGGTCCAGGGCCCTGGCCGTGCAAGATGGAGAGGTCAGCAGGGCTGGGGGCACAGGCTGTAATTTGCAGAAGGGTCAGACTGAAACAAAAACTAGCCCCCAAACTTTCGGAAAGGGGAATCCTCACTGGGGAGCCCTTCAAGCAGCCAAGTGCACAGCGAACATTCACAGTGTCCAGCAGGGAGGAAGAAAAAGAAGGGAAATTGGTGGGGGAGGGGAACGAGTGGGACCGAAGTGCTTTGCGCTGCAGCATTTCGTTGCAGCTCCGATGTCATAGCCTGGAGGATGCGGAGAGCTGCAGGACTTTTCTCCGGCTGAAGCACGCAGAGGATGATGGGACGAGAGGCTGTGCAGGGAATGTTGCATTTCAGAGCTCTGGGGGAACTGGAGAACTTGCCTGAGGGTAAGAGAGAGGAAGGAAACTTTGGGGGAAAGTTGCAAGTGTCTCGCCTTTCCCAGGACGAGTTAATTTGTGGAGCTCTCTCTGTAATTAGTCTGCCTAGCTTTAAAAATGGAGAAGAGCCCGCCAGTTGTTTGTGGGGGAGGAAACTCGGCAGAATGCAGAGAAATAATAAGAAACGGTGCCTCCGAAGGGAATTCGAGGCACCGTGCCATCTGCCTTCATTGCAAACCGTCAAAGGAAATTACGTGCCGTCTCCCAGTTGTGCAGAATTCTGATAAACACATACATTTCACGGTCAGGCCGGAACATTGGAGCCGTTAGCAGGCGCTAGTTCACAAATATATATATAATATAAATATATGGCAGCTATCGGGGCCACCCAAGGAATGGTTTGCTGGGCAGAAGAAGCTGACCTGGCTTGCATCGTGCGGTCAAGTGATGCCAAGACGCAGAACGTCAAAAGTTTCCCTGCAACAAGCACGGTTCCCTCCCATTTTATCTATTTATTTATTGCATTTATATCCAGTCTGCACAGCCCGGAGGGCTTGCTGGGTGGTTTACAAACATCTGAACCCCAGGCGCAAACAATAAACTGCTCAGATAGAACCCAAGACGCTAAAAAGAGCACTAAAAAAAATAAACAGACATAACCGGATATAAATATTCGGCGTTATCCAAAGCGTGGCAAGCTTTAATTAGTAGATTAACTAGCTGTGCTTGATTAATTGGTTTCCAGGCCGTCTTGAGACCTATTTTGGGAAAAGATGGGGTAGGAAAGTTTTAAATAACTAAATAAATGGTGGAGCCCAATTGGAGCAACTCTGGCCCTGCTTCCGGTGAAAGGCAGTTGGGAACGCCCGGCTTCCAGAAGATCCCGGCCGCGCTGCCTCCGAGGGGGCGCCGGTCCCTCTGAGAGCAAGCCTCGTCCCTCGTCCGGTCGCGCCACGGCTTCGCCCGGGGCGGCATTCTCTCGTGGCGTTCCCCGTGCCACGCGGGAGCATTTCCGCCTGCCCTGGGCGGCCGTCCCGGCGGCCCCGGCGCTCGCTCTGAGTGCAGCTCTTCCCCCGCTGGCGGTGGGCCGTCTCTGCGGAGGCCCGGGGGGCCCTCAGCCCACGGGGGTCTGGAGTGGGACCCTCTTTGCTTGCAGTTCTCCCCGACACGGTGCACTTCTGAGTGTCTCGGCACATGGCAGACGGGGGCCGATGAGAGCCACGCTCACGAGACGGAAGCCCCTCGGCGTCCCGCCTGCCCATTTCTATTCATTGACCAAGGCTCGGAGGAGACATGGACGACCAGAATCGGTCAGCGAGTTTGATTCTGTCTGCTTCGGACTCGGCGGAGACAAGGGCCATGGACGCCGGATGGTCCCCTCCCTTCCTCCCCGTCTTTCACCGTGACTGGAGACTGTGCATGGGCGCTGCCTCCAGAACGGCCCTGTGAGGTAGGCCAGCCAGAGAGAGGGAAACTGGCTGGCTTCCTAGCGGAGTGGCGGGCGGCCCAGGCAAGCAAAGATCCCCCCATCGCTTCGCCTCCGGCTGCGGCAGCCGCGCTGCCCTCACAACAGGGTCCAGCTTGGCGTGGACCCTGGGGGGCACCCCCTCTTCTGTTTCAAGGCTTCGGGGCCCTGGACGTGTCTGTTTTGCCATTTCCATCCTGTAAACAATCGGAATATTTTCAGAGCAGGACCCCGAAGGTGCCCCGCAGTTGAGGCTGCCCTGCTCCGTGAGAGGAAGGCTCACCTGCTTTTGGGCGAGCTGCGCTCACGGTGGGGGTCTTGTCTCATGAACTTCGCACACGAAAGCCAGAGGGATTTGATCTGAGGGCTTTGGGGAACAAAGGCCGGGGAACTGCAGCGTCTCCCCTGGCGCGGATAGTTCCAAACCCAAGTTACTCCGATGCCGGACATCTCTCCGTAGTCCCCGAGGCTCCCTTTGCTCCGATTATGGCATTTCTAAATGGTGGTCAGCGAAGCACAGCGAGGGCGAGGGAAAGGTCTGTGAGTTAGCTGACGTTTGTGCAAGCAGCGCTGAGAAAGGCCCGCGAGGGGGAGAGGGTGCACGTGGCGGATCGAACAGAAGCAGGGACCAGGTTCTTCTACTTCTTAATGAGGAACCTGGGGACGGAAAAGGTTCCGGGGCACACGGAGGGGAGCAGCTCTGCCAGCAGGGTGGCTCTCTCTGCCTCTTCTCTCCAGATATTCCTGGGGGTGGCTTAGATCTTGTTTCATGACTTTCCCTTCCTGAGAGTCACAGCCCCCCAAGCTGCCCCTCTTAAGAGTTTTTCGGCGCATCTATGCAGGTGTCATTTCTGTGCTCCGAGAGCCAGCTCTGGCACAGAAGCTCCTCCAGTAATGCAGGGCTGGCTTGGTGAGTCCCAGGGGGAAATGGGTTCCCCGAACACCATCAGCCGCGTTGAGCTCCGACTGGGCATTTTCTCGGACTATTCCAGCTCCCCCAGGCCTCTTCCCCGCCAGACGAGCCCTCGGGACGAGCCTCCATGTGGCCACTAGTGAAAAATTGGACGTGGGCAGCCGGCAGGCTTCCTGCCTCTCCTGTGCAAATTTCAGGGTCAGGGTGGACTCTCCAAGCAGAGCAGAGGCGGTTTTGTTCCGAGAAAGTGAATTGTGTTGAGGCTGCAGTGGCGCTCGGAGTCTGATGAACGACGCGGGCTCGGTTCGCGGTTGGTACAGGATCCAGCCACGTCTGTGTTTGGGGAGCGGCTGGAGGGAGCCGGTCGGCAGGGCAGCACGGCCGTGCAGGAGGGGAAAGGGGTACAGCTCGGCATCCGAGGGGATCTTGCAGCCTCTCAGATTAGTGCACACAAATGGGGGAAGACACAGGCTGCCTGCAGCCATCGGGAGAGGCCCGTGCTGGTGTGGGCCGGGCCGGAAGGAGGCCTGTGGCCGGGCAGGAGCTGGGCTCCCCCCGAAACCGTGCCCGTCCACCGGCAGCCCGGGCCACAGGGGGCCCAGGGACGGGCAGCTGCGCTGTGGGAAGCTCTCCAGAGCAAACGGTACGGGGGACTCGTGCAGAGACCTGCGCGCAAAGCAGAGACAGATCCCCCTCGGCCTTCACCGATACGGAAGAAGGAGAGTCCCTGGGCTGCCTGGCCTTGAGCAGGGCCAGCCCAGAGGGAGCGGGGTCAGCCGCCCCCCCGCCCCCCCGCCAGCCCAGCGCTAAGCCGCCTTTTCTGTCTTGCAGGATGCGATGTCCACGTTCTTTCAGTTCGGGGCCTCGATCCAGCAAGAGGCCATCGTCATGCTGAAGTTCATGCAGTACTACGACTGGCACGCCTTCTCCGTCGTCACCAGCACCTTCCCCGGCTACCGGGACTTCATCAGCTTCATCAAGTACACGGTGGAAAACAGCTTTGTGGGCTGGGACATGCAGAACATCATCACCCTGGACACGTCCGTCGTGGACGCCAAGACCACCGTCCAGCTGAAGAAGATCCACTCCTCGGTCATCCTGCTGTACTGCTCCAAGGACGAGGCGGTGCACATCCTGGGCGAGGCGCGCTCCCTGGGCCTGACGGGCTACGACTTCTTCTGGCTCGTCCCCAGCCTGGTCAGCGGGAACGTCGCGCTCACGCCCAGGCAGTTCCCGGCGGGGCTCATCTCCGTGGCCTACGACGAGTGGGACTACCGCCTGGACGCGCGGGTGCGGGACGGCCTGGGGATCATCACGAAGGCGGCGGCGGCCATGCTGCGGCAGTACGCCTTCGTCCCCGAAGCGAAGAGCACCTGCTACGGGCAGCTGGAGGGCAAGGAGCGGCCGACCCACACGCTGCACCGGTAGGGGCGCCGGCTCGCCACGTGGCCTCGGAGGAGCACCGCGCGCGCCGTGTCGGCGGAGGCGGGGAGGGTGCTCGGGCGTGCCGGGGCCCTGTGAGGCAGGGCCGGGGCGCTTCGGGAGCCGGCCCTGAGCCGCACGGGTCCTTACGGATCAGCGGCCGGGCTGGGAGGCCCGTTCAGGGCGCTGGGGCCAGTGCGGTTCCCTCGGGACCGGGGAGGCGCAGTCGGTCCGACTCAATAATTCAGGGGCCGCGCTTCGAGCTAATGTGGTTTCCGAGCAGCCTTCAAAGGCAGCCTGCGTGCGGCAGCCCCGTGTTTCCAGGGGCACGCGAGCGAGCGAGCGTTGAGTTTCTCTGAAGTCCCCCTTCAGGGTCTTTCTGCCGATACCAGATTGCGAGCATTTTTTCCCTTTCTACGTGCATTTCCCCAAAAGCACGCCTCGATTGCGCACAAGCGCGCTTGTCCTCAAATTGAGGAAAGTTGCTTGTGTGCTTTTTCCGGAAGGGCAGCCCTTAAAATGCCGTTTCGGCGTCATCCTGCACATCGCAAGTTCGGAAAGGTGCCGTCTCAGCCTGGAGACGTGCACTTGAGGCCTGAGAGGCGAGAACGGGGGATCGTGGGAAAACGTGACCGGAAGCAAGCGTTGCGTGGCGTGCCCGGCGGGGCCCAGGGGCAAGATGAAGCTGGCCCAACCTCGCAGGCTTGTTGGGAAGGTGACATGGGACGCAGGAGAGGGATTGTGTGCTGGAAAAACGATGTGGGCTAGAAACGTAATAAATAAATTGACTTTACTTTGCGCAGTTGAGGCAAAGGAAGGGATGGAAAGAGGGCCTTGGCACTGGAATCCTATTTGGATCCCTACTGAGCACTGCCTGGATTTCACCAGGAACCTCAAACCCTTCAGCGTCTTCCCACAGTCAGAAGGCCTAGAAATTGCCACTATCAGTATTTTCCGACCCAGTGATCTCCAAAGACTGGACTGCAGTTTCCATCATCCCCAGCCCCACACTGGGTCTCCTGCCCTGGACGTGCTGCCCCGCTGCACCCCTCAGAACCCTTTGCCGTGTCATTTCTGCATTGCCGTGATCCTCGTTTCCACCCGTCCCTCTTACTCATGAGGTGTCTGCCTAGCGTGCATCGTGTTCTGCTGTTTGTAGCTTGGCCGCTTGGGGGGGGGGGGGTCGCAAGGGCCGGAGCACCTCAACTGCGAGCACAAAACCAACCCGGGAGGCCCTTTCCGCCTCCAGCGTGGCCCCCAGTAGCTCAGCTGCAGCCCCAAGTTCTTGCCCCAGATTTTGCCGGGGGGATTCAGGGGAGTTTTCTGGGATCGCTGCAGCAGGCCACAAGGTGGCTCCGTCGCTTGCCGAATGCCGCGAGCCCAGGTGCCTTCTTGGCCGTGGCATCCGGGATGCGCCAGGAGCTTCTCCTGGCGGGACCTGCTCGCTGAGGAAGCTGCCCAGGTTGATTCGGCTTCACCCAGGTCGATCCGGCGGCCGGTCCGGACGGCGTCCCTTGCCGGCCCTTGGACGGGCACGGGGGACCCTGCAGTGGGAGGCCCTCCTGCCAAACCACAGTGGGAGGGGAGGGGGCCCAGGGCTGGTTCCGGAGCCCGGCTCCCATGCTCCCCCCACCCATCTCCCAGAGCCCCCCGTGGTGCCCCCCTTGGCCTTTCTGTGCCCTGCAGTAACTTCTCCTGGGTAAAAGCTCTGCTCATAGGATGGGGGAGGAGTAAGGGAACCTCCGTTCCAAAAGCTGGATGAGAACGATCCCGATCCTGCGTCATCGCACTCTGCGGTCTCTGAGCTGCAGAACCGGAAACTATGGGGGTTTCTTAGAGATGCACTGGGGCTCGGCTGTGCCTCCCAAGCTTGGGGCGCTCCAGTTCTCGCACGGCCGGGACCCCTTCCCAAGCCGCCTGCTGCTCTTACGCATTGCTGACGCCTCTCCCGCCGCCTCCTCGCCGGTCTAACAGCCGAGGGAGGGGCAGCAGATGCTCGGCCGCCGGTTCGAAGCAGAGCCCGGCGTCCGCAGTGTGTCCAGCGACGACGAGCGAGCGGGGCGCTGCAGGGCTCCGCGGCGTCCGCCCATGTGTGTGGAAACAATGGATTTTCAATTGCGTTGATACTGTCGCCTGCTTTAGGTTTAAATCGTTGGCTGGCCGCTCGCGGTTTGTTTACTGCGTAAGGGCCTGCGTTCCGAGGCAAGTCCTCTTTCCCTGAGTGGTGCTCAGCAGTCCGAGAAGAGGAACGGGAGTGTCCCCAGGCGCCCCAGGTGGAAGCACAAAGAGGCGCGAGGAGAGGGGAGGGGGCGCGGCTGTGCAGGCCAGAAGAGGTGGCGGCAGGGGGATTTGAAGGCTCTTGGGGGTGAAGTGCCGGCAGCCCACGTTTCTGGGGCTGAAGGAGCCGGTGGGTCTTTTCCCCACTTGCAGTCCTAGCAGGATAAGCCCGTGGTGCTGCTTGTGGCAGGGCAAGATGGCAGAAACCTGCAGGGGCTCCTTCCCTGGCCAGGGGCCGGGCTGGGCCAGCCCCTCTCTCAGCCTGCCCCCCTTCCTGCAAAGGAAGATGGAGGCTTCCTGCCGGGGCCCCGAGTCCTTGGTGGTGGGCAGAAGCCCAGTGAGCGACCTTTCTGCCTCCGGGCCAAGCGCTCCTTTCGGCCCTCAATTCGGGTCGAGGTTGCGGGTCCGGTTGCGGGTCTGGCTCCGGTCAGGGTTCCCAGTCTCCATGAAGCTGCTGAGGCAGGGAGCGTGTTCAGAACGAGCAGAAGGAACAAGTCGGGCGGAAAAGTATCCCGAAAGCTGGCGTTTTGGAAATTGGTCTTGGGGACAGGGGCAGGGTTTGCAAAACCACGGTGCCTGGGATGCTGCCGAGGCTTGGGATGTGGCTGGGGCGGGAGAAACGTTTTGCTGCTCAGAAAAGACGTTTGGCGAATCAGTGCGTCCTGTGTCCCCTTGCCCAGGTGCTTCTCCAGTCCCCGCTTGAAACCACCCCAGTTGGTGGCCCCCGCCAAGGCCCAGGAAGCCAATTCCTTCAGTCGACCTTCCGTCTGAAACGTCCCAGCTGTCAACTTCTGGGAAGACCCCGTCTGGGTCCAGCAGTGTAGGGAGGGGCTGAAAAAGTCCTCGCTGCCCACCGTCAGCACACCGTGCCGACTCTTGGGCACCTTCTGGCGCACCAGAACGGCCCAGAGTGCCCTTGTCGCTTGGCGGACCTGCATCCTGGGGTGTCGCTCCCCAGAAGTTGGGGCGCACCAGCAGGAATCAGCCCCCCCCCCCCCCCGCGCCGTGCCTGGCAGGCAACTCCGCGACTGCAGCACCCTGTGAGCGCTCCAGGGCTTTGCAAGCTGCAAGGGAGCGCTCCCCCTTCGTGCACGCAGGCCCCACCGCCGGCTGGAAAAGAGACTGGGCCGTGTGGCGAGGGCTTGGGCAAAGGTCCTCCACAAGACCGGCCGAGCCAGGAGCCGACCTGCGGATTTTGCACCCTCTCCTGACGGCCGTGCAGTTGTGTTTTGGGGAGAGTGCACGCCGTTCCCCCAGTTTCTTATCAGGTAGTTTCTTTTCTGGCTGCCAGCCCCAGGGGCCACTGCCCCCCTGCTCTGGGTTGAGACACAGAGACAGAGCGAGTCAGAAGGGGCCTCCTGGGCCATCTAGTCTGACCCCGGCTCCAGCCAGCTCCAGTCATGACGTGCCCACCATGTGCATGTCCAGCCTGTCCTTGAACACCCGCACCGAGGGGGCCTCAGCCACCTCCTGTGGGAGCCCATTCCATAGAATAGTGGGGTTGGGAGGGGCCACAAAGGCCATCCAGTCCACCCCCCCCCCCCCGCTATTGCAAGATGCCAAGTCACACCATCCCACTCCGGTGGCTGCCCAGCTTCTTTCCGAATGTCTCCAGTGCGGGAGAGCCCTCAAGTTCTTGTGTCTGTTGCAAAGGAGCAATCCTCTGCCCACGTTCCCGGCTAGCTTGCTGGGACATGCTGGAGGCCGCAGGCCTTTCCCTGCCTAGCCATGGCCCTGCAGTGAGCTGGCCTGATGGTCCGCATCGTTATGCTGAGGGGTCAGAAGTGGCTGGCTGACTCTTCAAAGGACACCCGTCCAGTCCTTTAAGCCCCAAATGTGGGCTTCCGATTCACATTTGCTTGGGAATTAAGTGCTGTCCGTTGCAAGGGGACGAATCCCCAAGCTGAAACACGGTGGATTTGATTTCGGCAGAAAAGAAGAAAAGGAGAAGACGAAAGAAAGGAGCGAAGGATTTTGCACAGTAAGGAGAGGATTTATGGCGTGTGTTTCGTCGGAGTTAATCCAATGACTGAATTAGCCTGCTCATTAACGGTTGGACAGCTCATTAATTTCTCTTTGAACATTTCCATTCTTTCTAGGTTTATGATGAATGTGACCTGGGAAGGCAAAGACTTATCCTTCACCGAAGACGGCTATCAGGCACATCCCAGATTGGTGGTCATTGTGCTCAACCAGTCCCGGGCGTGGGAGAAGGTAAGGTACAGCTTCTCTGGGGCTCCAGAACAAACCGTCTCAGTCCATGCTTGGGGGCTTTGCTTGGGTCTGCCGCATTTTAAGTCTGGATATTACACAGGGTTCAGGGTGTGTGCCGTTTTCCTTATTCTCCCCGCCATTGCCTTTCCCGGTGCACTGCACACCTGGATCAAACAGGTAACCTGCAGCAGGTCAACCTGGAGCCACGGTGTGCCCTCAGGCCAGGCCGCGCAGCTCAGAGCTGGAGCCCTGTTCCGAACGCACAGCGCCCTCGCTCCCGCCTCCTTGCCATCCCGCCGCGCCATTTCGCGCACTGGATTTCCTACCGCCTGGAAATCCAGTCTGTGGTTTCCTACCACCTGCTGAAGCACTCTGGGCGGTTGATGAAGATTAAAACGCGCCAAAACACTGATTACAAATACGAACGGGAACCCACGAGGCGTGCATGCCTGCCTTACAGCGTCGGCCGTTTCACGGTCCAGGCGGGAGGAAGGCAGTGGGCACTCTGGCCCAGGAGAGGGAATGTGGACCAGGAAGGGGGGACCTGCTCTGGGTTCCGGGGGGCTGCCCCCTGGGACCAGCTCTGACCGGCCACCTGGCCACTGCACTCTGGGCCTGCTGATGTCCCGGAGCCGTTTCTGAGGGCCGGGCAGGTGATGGGAGCCCAGGCAGGATGCGAGCGAGGCCTGTGCCTCCACGGCCAGGTCAGAGGCCTCCGGGAACCGGTGTGGGTGGCCCAGCGGCCTCAGCGGAGCCGAAGTGGGTTTCTGGGGTCATGCAGCTTCCCTTCTGCACAGGCCTCCCGAATGGGCCGGGGCACACGGGCTCCGCAGGAAGCCGCCACCCAAAGAGGCAGGAGTCCCACCGCGGCCGGCCGCCTCCCGTCTCTCCCAGAAAGAAATGCTCTTTCCAGGATGGAACCCAGTTGCTCTGGTGTTAGAGGAGCCTTTTGAAATTGAAAAATAAAAATGCTGCTAGCAGATTAATGGGAGCCATTTCTTAAAAAGGAATCTATTCCTGTAACATTCTAAATATCGCTGCCCCAATTATGATGCTGCGGATGATATGAATATTGAACGGTTCTTGAAAACATGTGGCTCTCCAAAGCTTAATTTTGAGTCTCTCTGGGGAAGGGCAGGGCCCCGGGATCCTAAAATCCGAGAAGAAAGACCAGTGTCCGCGATCCCAGTGGACCCGTGCCTTGTATGAACCTGGTTCTGGGGGCTGGTGGAATGAGAAGGCTTAGGCGCTGAGACCAAGGCCGAGCAGGCATGTTCCTTCAACGGGCACTGCAGTCCAGTTCATACTGGAAGGGGAAAAGCCCCAGTACGCCCATGCTGGCTGGGCAGCGCTGCAGGATTGCTTTGGTTGCCCGGTCCCGGTTGGGACAGCAGAGGTGGCCAGCGGCTCGGAGTTGTGTGCACTTCAGTCTAGCTCAAGTTGCGCCCGTTTCTAGGAGTCCATGCTAAGTAGGACTGATGTCAGGTCCAGCTGGATGCCTTTTCTTTCTGCTACTCAAATGTAAGTGTGGAAGGCCCTATATGGATTGGGACCCTGGCGCAGAGTGCCCTCACCCTTTCCTTCCGGCCAGACTCCTGATTTTGCATTGCAGAAAATACCAGGGTCCTCAAAATTCAGTTTGGTGTGGAGAGAGTGAATGGGGGGGGTCTCCTGTCCCTTTCTCATAGCCCCACAACCTAGCAGGGACCCCCACCCAGCCGCCTGATTCAGGAAGGCGAAAGAGGGCCCAGGGCGAAGCGGCAGGGTGCCCTTCCCAAGCAGCCATGCCGGCCGCCCGCAGAGTCTAGCTCCAGCCTCCCGTTTCAGAGGCTCTGTGCGTATGCGTGCAGGGAGCTGGGGAGCATGGGCACGGTGGTGCTCTGAGGCTTGCTGGGGCATCTGGACCGGATCCTGGACCAAGTGACCCAGCATGTACCTCCTCCTGCAGGAAGGGAATAGATAACGGAAAGGCAAGAATGCTGCGGATCGCAGGGATGCCCCTGCCCCAGGGCGGGTCCAGGACCACCGCTGAGGGGGAGAGCTGAGTCCTGCCCCCCCCCCCCCATGCTAGGCCCCCTGTGCAGTCTGAGTCAGGAAAGATTTTCGTCCCAGAAACAATGCGCGCTTCGCCCCTAGAGCAGCACGCTTGCCTGGGGGCACGCGGCCGGCCCCTCGGATTCCTCCCCCGCCGCCCTCCCCTCGGTGGCGCTGGCATTTGATTTGAGCCTGGCTCCAAATGACTCAGAAAGGCTGGGGTTTTAACTCGATTTAGCTCTCGATTAATTCACCGTTGCAGCACGGCAGTGCCATCTGTAAAAAGCTGGCTTCCTTATTAATCTCATCTGTAACTAAATGAGAGGAGGAGGGGGGCGGGGGGAGATGTGAGGAGGAGGACGCCGAGCGCCGCTGGTCACATCCGATCATTTCTGTCCCACTTGCCGGGCGGGCGATTCTTCGCCTGAGTCACGCTCTCCCGAAACACTCCCGTGTCGTGCTCAAGGGCCGCTTTAACTTTGAGAGAAGAGCAGGATTTTCCATATGGGCAGCAATTAAAGCCGGCAAGCGTTAATTCATGGTAATCATGATTCTTGGTGCATAATAGCCGTTATATTTAAGAACGCCGGAGAAAGGGAGAAGACGAGAAGCAAGATCGTCAAGGACATAACTTGACTTAATGGCCCTGTTGATGAACGAACAATATATAATGAGTTAAACAGAGGTTTAGCAAAGGAACGGGGCAAACAGGAATCTGGAGTGATCTGCCTGCGTGGCCCTGCGGACGCGTGGAAGAGCTGCCAGAAAACGCCCCTGGGAGCCCTCTTCCGGGAGGAAAGGCTGGCGTTTTGGCCGGATCCGACCGTTTGGAGAAGAGGCTTGGCTAGTGCTGCGTGGGGGGGGCTGCGGGGTGGCCCAGGCACGGTGACCTTGGGAAGGGAGACGCCACCTTCCCAAGCACTCGGCTCTCGCGCTGGCCAGCGGGTGGGACTCTTGGCTGGTGACCACCGAGGGAGTGGGAGACGGGGCCCGTATTCAGGTGGAGGTGGGCCACTTTCCCCCTCTTCCTTGGAAGGATTCCTACGCCATGGGAACAGTTTAAGTGCTTCTTTGCCCAAAGAGTTTCCGGGTCTCATTCGGAGCAAAAGCCGGTGTTTCTTCTGGTTGCAGCTTTTCCATCAAGCTCGACGTTTTCTGAACGGAACCGGCTTTCTGAACTGAGTTCCACGGAGCTGCCAATGCGCAGGAGGGCTGTCCCATAAAAAACGCACTTTTTATGGGTGGTGCGTTGATTCTGGATGTGGTTTCACCCCGAGGCTTCGCTCCTTGGGGTATTCGTCATGAAAAACAGGAAGCCAATTCCCAGGGCGTGTGGCTCTTTCAAGGGGGTCTCAGGAAAGCTGCGGGGGAGGCGCTGGTTGGGGAGGAGAAGGGCGAGGGCGATTGGCAGCTTCTGCCCATGATAGCCCAGTGGAGACTCCGCGGTCAGAGGAGGCGGGCCGGCCAGGTGGGCACACCTGTGCCTTGATCCAGCTGGGCTTTCCTGATGCCCAGATGAGCGAGGCGAGCCTAGGGGAGAAAGCGGGCTGGGGACGAAGACGGAGGGATCCCTCAGCCTCGCTTTTCCCTGGGTTCCTCCCATTGCAGGTTATGTTCATCCCAAACATTTTTAAAGTTTGCCTGAAACATCGCTCTGGGCACAGCTGTGCGTGCTCCTTTCCCCTAGTTTTCCATTCTCCTAGCACAACTTTAAACATCTGTGTCGCCCCCGGCCATGGGCTCCCCACTGGGGGGACGAGGACTTGTGTGCAGCCCGCATGAGGGGCGGGGGTCCCCGCAGGGCCGCATCCAGCAGGACCGGGCCGCTGTCTGTGCAGCCCATGTGCCCCAGCAAGGGCTGCGGAAGGGCAGTTCCTGCAGCCAGGGAGGACCCAGCAGTCGCGTCGTGGATGGCGCTCTGCCCTGTGAGGGGCGGCCGTGCCCCGGCCCTCCCCCCGACGTGGCTGCTGGGCTCCGGAGCGTGAGGAGCCGCCCCTCCCCGGACGGAGGGCAGCTGCGGTTAAGAAGCATGCCTTGCGATGGCTCCTTCGGTCCCGAAGCCAATTAAGTTTCCTGTTGTGCATTTCGCAGCAGATCTTGCCGCCGCTGGCCTTATTGCCGGGCTGGCGTATTATCCTGATTAACGACGTGGCGTTGTCCTCCCCGAAATGCTTCCCTTTCTGATAATTGTTCCTTCCAGTTTTAAATAAAAATAAAACTGAATTGCTCCTGCAAAAGAGTCCATCATCTTTCTCAGTCCAACACTTAAAACGCTCTGCTGAGAATTATGCCACGGCTCCTAAAGTGGAAGGATCTATGAATAACTTTTAGTGCGCCATAAAGAACCGTGTTCCCGCTCAAGGACTGATTAGCGGCCTGGCATTGTGTTGCGTCCTCGGGGAGTTTTACTCTTTCAACTTCTGCCCAGCTTCTTCCCAGTCCTCCAAGCGGCCAAAGCCGGTTTAATTAATCGTTTCTTTTTCCTCCTCCTCCTCTTCTCCTGCCCTTAATTTGGGACATGAGAATACGGGAGGACCCCTGATGCTGGAGCAGGCCAGGCACCCCCTGAGCCCTGGCAGCTGCCCGCAGGAGCCTGCAACAGGCAGTGTTGCAACAGCCCATGTTCCCCAGCCAAGGGTCTCCCTGTCCCTGATCCTTCGGAGAGCAGGTGCCCGGGACCAGAACAGGGGTGCACACAGTGCGAAGCGGTGGGTGCTTCCTGGCAGCGAGGGCAGCACCTCACCAAGTCACCACGGTGATCGTTCATACGCAGGTGTATACTGTATGCACACAGATTCTAGTTTTTGCACGCGCGCGCACAGTCTTTGCAGCTATGTTGTTCTGAGATGCTCTCTGCATGCAGAGCGTGGCCCCCAAGGGGCCCCGGCCAGGGTCCGAGCCGCTTTCCCTCCTGCACCTCGTGACCGCGAGAGCCCCCCGCCCGCCCCTCGCCTTTTCCTTCCCAGCCCAGGCTGCTTCTGCACTGGCACCCAGGTGGCCGCCCTGTCAGTGCCCAGGGAGGGCCCGGTGGGCTTCGGCTGGCTCCCCCTGTGGCTTTTCAGGCGAAACCGGGTCGGCCGCGTGACGCCGGGCTCAGCCGGGTGGAAGCTGGGCTGCAGGGCGAGGCGGCTCTGAACTCCACGCAGCCCAGGAAGGAAGGGGTCTCTGGCCGCAGAGGCGGGACCCTCTTCAGCCACCGTTCTGCCCCGGCCCCCTCCCTTGCCCTCTCGCCTGGTGCACTTCTGGGGACGGGGAGCGGCGAGAAGGCACCTCGCACCTCAGATTCACTCCTGATTGTCAAATGCCTGACCTGCTCCGCATCGATTGAGGGCCGAGTGGCGCACAGCGCGTTACAACGGGGGAACGGGAACGCGCGGCGGGAGCAGGACCGATGGCATGGCGGCTCCCCCCCCCCCCCCCGGGACCTCCCGGCGTGCCCCGGCCCCCCTCCTGCCTGCCCCCGGTCTAGGAAAACTGTGCCCGGGCAGCGCCCGGCTTGACGTGTGAGCGCTTTGGTCAGCCACCTCTCAGCCGTCTTCACGTGTTGGCCTTGCAGGTGGGGAAATGGGAGAATAAGACCTTGAGCCATAAATATTCCGTGTGGCCCAGGTTCAATTCTTTCAATGACAGCGACCCGGACAACAACCACCTCAGCATCGTCACCCTGGAGGAGGCCCCCTTCGTCATCGTGGAGGACATGGACCCCCTGACCGAGACCTGCGTGAAGAACACCGTCCCCTGCCGGAAATACGTCATCATCAAGTGAGTCCCGGGGGGCTCCTCTCCTCCTGCCCCGAACGCCCCAAGGCGCAGCGGAGCGGGTGGGGTGGAGTGTGCGTTTCTGCCCCGCAGGCCTGCCACGGAGCCCGCTCATCCTGCGCCCGGGAGCCTTGGCCCAGGGCTCCCGTCAGCGGGGGGCCCTTCCTGCCAGTGATGGGGCGCTGGGGGGCTCCCCCGATTCGTAGCCGTGTTTAGCGGACCGACCGAACCTGTTCCGCTCCTTGGAATGCACGGAAGGAGCAGTGCGGCCCGTGGCCCTGAGACGGATGCCGCCCCCTTCCTCCCTAGCGCGCCTCACATGGGTTTTATCAGGCTGCATCTTCAGTTGCAAAGCTCTTCCGCCGTCTGTCTTCCCACGGGTCCTGGGTGCTCCGTGTTCGTTTTGTTCTGGGCATGTTTTCCTCAGCTCTCTGGGGCCACGATTCCACAGCAGCTCCGTCAGGGGTGCAGAGGCTCTTTCCGACCGAGCGCCACTGTCGGTTTTCCGGGAGCTCTCGAGGACCGCAGTGCAGGGGTGGGCAGGCTGGAAGGCACAGGAGGAGGGGCCAAAATGTGTTTTAGTCCAGCGCTCTTCCTGAGTTAGGTCTCAGGGGAACGATTCCGGTTAATTGGGGTCAGAGCGCTGCCTGGGGGCCCCCGGGACTGCTCTGGGAAGACCTTCACCCCCCTCCCGCTGCCGCTGGGGAAGGCCAAAAGCAGGGCATTAGCCTTTTGCTGCTGCCGGTGTCCAGCATCAGATGGAGGTAGACTGCCCCTGATCGGGGGGCTTCATCGAGATGCCATAGCTGGAAGCCCCAGAAGACGCCACAGCAGCAGGCCAATGTCCCCCCTCATTTGGCACCCTGCTCGGTCCCATCATGGTTCCCCCTAGAAACCCTGGAAGGGGCTCCACCTGAGCCCCCCAAAGGTGGCCCGTCCCACGGCAAGCATTCCTGCCAAGTCCTCTCTGGCAGGGACCCCACGGCTGATCCCCCCCCCCCGGTTCATCTGCACACCCACGCCAAGGGGCAGGTGGGGGCGAGAGTGGCCCAGAGCTGCCTGCGAAGCATCGGGGCCGAGCGGGGCCTTGGACCCGATTGCCCAGCCGCACGGCTCGGCCTGCCCAGGAGCTGACGCCCCCGGGGCCCGTTTGTGTCGGCAGCAACGTCACCAAGGAGGGGAAGAACGTGAAGAAGTGCTGCAAGGGCTTTTGCATAGACATCCTGAAGAAACTCTCCAAGGCCATCGGGTTCACCTACGACCTGCACCTGGTCACCAACGGGAAGCACGGCAAGAAGGTCAACAACGAGTGGAACGGGATGATCGGAGAGGCAAGTGGCGCTGGGCGGCGGAGCTCCCACCTGGCCCTGGGATTCCCCCGGGGCCGGGACCCCGCAGCCACCGCGGGTGAGCTCACGTTTCGCTGCTTTCCCCCCCGCCCCGCCTGTGCTTCGCACCCAGGTGGTCAAGAAGCAAGCGGTCATGGCCGTGGGCTCCCTCACCATCAACGGGGAGCGCTCCGAGGTGGTGGATTTTTCCGTGCCCTTCGTGGAAACGGGGATTAGCGTCATGGTATCTCGGAGCAACGGGACCGTTTCTCCATCGGCTTTTTTAGGTAAGTCGCTGCCTTTCGTTCTCATCTTTCGATAGACAGGTTAACTTGGCTTTTTTCTGTGCATATACTTTTGACAAGGCTTCACAGTTTTTTAAAAAGCTGCACCGTATATCTAGCTGTTCCGTGACACATTTCTGACAGTTTTTAAATTGCACATTTAAAAGTTTGGACAGCAGCTGTACCTGCCTCAAGCAATGCTGAAGGGGAGGGCTGGCGTTTGCAGGGAGAGCTGGAAACCGCGGGGCCGGGCATCCTTCCCTGTGAGAGGCCGAGCTCCCTCGGAGCGGTTTTGGGATGCCCTGTCCAGCAAGCGGGAAGCTGCTGGTGGCGTCCTCTTGCGAGAGGCCGAGAATCAGGCAACGGCTGTGCAAAGCAGCCTTCCGCCAACGCTCTCTCCCGATGCACAGAAAAGGCACTTCCTTGCATCGCAGCTGGAACATCTTGGTTTCTGAATATTCTTGCACCTCGCTTCTCTCTCGCAAGGGCCTGTGGCCGGAGGTGCCGCGTCAGAGCAGCGTCACATGAGGGAGCCAGAGTGCAAAGTCCCCAAACAAGCAGCGCAAGTCCCCGCGGGGTGCGATTCCCATGCTGCACAGCCGGACAGCGATCCCACGTCACGGCCACCCCACGCCCCCGCCCCCTCGCTGGGCCCGCCCCCTTTTGCAGCCGCCCATTTTGGCACTTCCGAACTTTTGTGCAATGCCCCCCCTTTCCGAAACCTTGTGATGGCTCTCCTAAGGATTTGTGACGGGCAGGGAGAGCTTTCAGCAGAGCACGAAGCTCGAAATAGTAACTAAAACAAGCCGGCACGTGGGGTGCTTGTGCCCCCCCCACCTTTGCCCTGCCCAGTTTGCACTTTGGCAGACAGAGCTCCCCAAAACTTCTCTGTAATGGAAGCCGGCTTCCACTCGAAGGAGGCTCCGCGCCTCTGCTGTGGGAGAAAGGTGCCGTTTGTCACACTGGCAGGTGTCGTCTTGAAACCGACTGCTTTCAGCTGCGCTCACTGTCTTTCCATCGCTGTTAGTGGCGTCTTTGCAGCGCCCAGTGGTGGCAACAAACGAGCTTGCCAAGCTTGACTCCACAGTGGCTCTCCCTGCAGAATCCCTGGGTCACAGGATCCCGGCGGGCAGATCTTTCTCCACTCCCTTCTGTCCTCACTCCCGGGATCCTGGTTCCCACAGCCACCCGCTTTTCCTGAACCCGGGGGGAGCTGGGTGTTCCTTTTCTCCGAGGAGGGACAGAGCAGCGTTCTCCCTCCATGCCGGATCTGGAACTAGGTCACCAGCAAGCACTGCTGAGATGCTTTGGTGGCCACAGGGGCTGTCGAAGAATGGGGGAAAAGGAGGGGACCGGCATTTTCCCTCTGTGGGGTTTGCTTCCTCAGAAGAGGTCCTGGATGGCTCTGGCACGAGTAAGATTTCAGGAGAAGCCGCTTTGTGCGCTGCGCTCCGGCTTCGGGAAAGGAGAGCCGGCCTCTTTTCCGCGAGCTGCCAGTGGCGCGGAGACGTCTTTGCCCTGCCTGTGCATTAAACCCCAGTAGCCAAGCATATACCACAACCCCGAGGATTCAGCGCCGATCCGAGCAGCCGTCAGACACATCAATGCAGCTTCCTCTTGGAATAAGCTTCAGAGGGGCAGCCGGACTCGCTCTTACTGCGTGGCCCCCTCCAAAAAGAGCGCCCCCAAGCAGGGACTGGCTTCTGTGCCAAAAGCAGCTCCCCAGGGCACATGGGTCTCTTCCGCTCCTCTCTGCCCCACCCAGCTGGTGAAGCTCTCTGGGCAGATTGGCCGCCGCTCTGCCGGTGCCCCCTGGGACCCTCCCCGGCCCGGACGCGGGGCTGGCACCCCCGGGGCGGCTCTCCCCCTCCTCAGCCGCGCTCGTCTCTCCCCGCAGAGCCCTTCAGCGCCTCGGTCTGGGTGATGATGTTCGTGATGCTGCTGATCGTGTCGGCCATCGCGGTCTTCGTGTTCGAGTACTTCAGCCCCGTGGGCTACAACCGGAACCTGGCGCAAGGGAAAGGTACGGCCTCGCTGAGAGCGCGCCGCGGACGTGGCCCGAGGGGCACTCGATGCGGCCGGCTGCCTCCTTGCGCGAGTGGGGCGCCAGTGTGGCGCCGTGGGCACCGCCTTTGGTGCGGGGGGCTGGGGGCAGGGGGTCCTGGAGAGCAGTGGGGGCTGTCTCTTGCTGCCCCCGTGGCTTTCGCAAGCGGGACTTCTAGAAGTGCGTGCTTCATCAGTGCCGCAAGAGGGGCTCGCCTCTGGCGCCTTGCAGGAACGTAAATGCCACTGGCGCTCAGCGCAGGGCACAGGACTCTCCACGGCGTCTGCCTGGGAGAGCGGCATGGCTTGGGAGCCCCTCTGAGTGAAATAGCAGGGGCTGAAGTCTTGCCTGTGCGCTTCCCACGGGGGCACCTGGGGGGAGCCAGGTCCTGAGCAAAGTGGGTCTCTGGCCAGCCCCCTCTCAAGGCGCCATCTTAAAGTGGGTGACCAGCTGGTGACCCGGGAAGGAGATGCTGCGACGCCATCTCCTGTGGGTGTTGGCTTGTGCCGCGTTTTTATATCCGGTTTTGTAGCCCCCCGGCTCCCTGGATGGTTTGCACCGCACAAACCTACAACATAAAACTTCGTAAATAAAACAATGCCAGCCGCAGTCTCAGTCAATAATAAAGTTCAGGTAACGCCCCCTGCAGAGCTGGATCCCCGGGTCATAGTTTAACAACAGGTCGGAGGAAGCTCGAACGTGGCAGTTCCTCTTGCGTGAGCAGAGGCGCTTTTGTTTCCTGCGTGGGGTCTTTAGCACGGAAGGGTCCCACCAGTGCAGGGAAGCGGCCGGGGGGAGCGGGCAGGCCGAGGGGGTAACTGCCATGGCCTTGCCCATGGGATGGGAGAGGCATTTCAGTCCCCCCCCGCCCGTGTATGCATGCTTATGCAGTGGGGCAGACCGAGGCAAACCTGGGGACCCCCCCATGAAATGGGGCACGGCCGTGTGGCCACCTGGGATGAACTGTGGCTGCGGGAGCAAGCAGAGAAGGGCCTTGTGGATGGTGCGTGTCCCTCCGCGCGGGGGCAGCCCAGGGGGTGACGGCCGCCGCTCTGTCCCCCGTGCACGCAGATCCCCACGGACCGTCCTTCACCGTCGGGAAGGCCGTGTGGCTGCTCTGGGGCCTCGTGTTCAACAACTCCGTGCCAGTGCAGAACCCGAAGGGCACCACCAGCAAGATCATGGTGTCTGTCTGGGCCTTCTTCGCCGTCATCTTCCTCGCCAGCTACACGGCCAACCTCGCTGCCTTCATGATCCAGGAGGAGTTCGTGGACCAGGTGACGGGTCTGAGCGACAAGAAGGTGAGCCTCCTCGGGCCCCTTGTCTGGGGGTGTCAAGAGGGACGGCGGGAGGAACCGGGGCGCATGGGTGGAGCGTGGCCTTGCCTGCGCTGACGCCTCCCGCGTCTGCTCAGAGGAGGCCGGGCTGGGGGCTCGGGTGGCGCTGCCTCTCCGCCTCAGGTCCGAGGGGCGTGACCCCCGGCCAAGCCGGGGCTGGCTGCAGGCTGCGCCCTCCGGCTCTGCCCCAAGCCGCCCGGGCAGAGGAGCCTGCAAGCCAGCCGTCCCGCAGATGCTGCCTGGAGGCGATGGGAGCTGTAGTCCAAGGCAGCTGAGCATCCCAGGCGCCGGGGAGCAGCGGCCAGCAACAAGGGGCCATGCTCAGCCGGGGTCAGGATGGGTGCCCTGCTGGGCCTCCCCTGCATTTGCTGGAAAGCAGTGCCGTTCCCTCTGGGAGGAAGGCTCTGCTGTGGAATCTTTCCCCTCCAAAACGGCCTGCGCCACGGTTGCCGTCTCACGAGGGCCATCACCGTGGGGCAGGGCACAGTGTGCGGTGGGTCCTCGGTGGGCCGTCGCTCCCTCCCCCCGCTTCCAGGCAGCCCTCAGTTAATGGGCCGAAGGCCCGCCGTGGCGTCTGGCTGCATTCTTTACTGGGACCAACCCGCGGGGAAAGATCCGGAGCTGTGGCTCACATGCCCTTCCTTCTTGCCCTCCGCTTCCAGTTCCAGCAGCCCTACGCCTACTCGCCTCCGTTTCGGTTTGGCACGGTCCCAAATGGGAGCACGGAGAGGAATATCCGGAACAACTACAAGGAGATGCACGCCTACATGGTGAAGTACAACCAGAAGGGCGTGGAGGATGCGCTGGTCAGCCTGAAGACTGGGTAGGTGGGGCCCTCCTCCTCCCCCCCCCGCCACGGCGCCCATCCCCTGCTTTGCCGTCCGGGCTGCGGGTCCGCAGGGGTGTGCGACGACCGGGCGGGTTTGGCCTGTGTGCATGGGGGCGCTGGCACGTGGGTTTCTTGCCCCCTGGAAGTGGGGATGCTTTTTCTTGGAAGGGGGGAATCAGCGGAAGGCAGAAAGAGGGCTCCGGCCTGCAGGGAAGCCAAATCCCCCCGGGGATCGCCGGGGCACCAGCGGCCCTTCCCCGCGCCTGAGCTCCGTCCCTCGGATAGCACGGCGGTTTCTCACTGTCGATGCCGCTCTGCCCGCCGCCGCTTCCCTTCCGAGCTGATTTCCCAGGGTGGCCTCCCCAGGTGTCGCCTCCGCTTCCCGTGATGGACGCCATCTGCAGCAGATGCCGCTAATCACATGCCTTGTGTGGTAGCTCCGTGATCAATATCTGGCAACCGCTACGCATGCCGAAGGGTTGGGGGTTTGGCCCCAGGGAGCCGAAGGAACGGCGGAGAGGCGGGCGGAAGCCACTCTCAGCCCGGCACGGCTGCTGAGCCTCGATGGGAACTTCTGCCAGATGTCCTCTCTTTTCCAAGCCGGCCTGGCAAAGAAAAGTCCCAGGTCCCAGCTGCTGGAATAGCCGGCGAGCGGACGGAGAGGGGTGCCGGGAAAGGAGCTGCAGGACCAGTGCCCTCTCTCTCTGAGCCTGAAAAACGGCAGAAGACAGCTCGGTGCCCCCACTCAGCCCGCTTGGGGTCTGGGGTGGTTCCCCTTTTGGGATGGTGCTCAAAACAGGGTTTAGAAATCAGCAGCTATAAATGTTGGAAGCGACCATGGAAAGCGACGGCAAGTTGATCCCCGGGAAAATAGTTCTTCAGTGGAAGTGCCCCTTTCGGTGGGAGAGGCTGTGATGTGGGGACGCGGCAGGTTTCCACAGGGGGTGGGCTGGGGGCTCCCTCATGGAGGCCAGCCGGATGCTTTTCGGAGAAGGGCCGGCAGCCTGTGGCCCTCCAGATGTTCATGGGACCCCCTGGCCCAGCTGAGCTGGGGAGGGGATCCAGGGGGAGGGTAGCGCGGCGTTACTTGCTGGCGAAGGTGAGTTCCGTGCCCACCGCTTTGCGCTTTATCTGCTGTCAGAGGTATTATTAAGTGTCTGATGACTGAAGCAGAAAGATGAGGGCGCATGAAACTGCCGGCGTGCCCTGTCTTTTGAGTTATGGATGCTGGCGCTAAAAAATGGTCTGTGGGTGGGTGGGTGGATTGGGGATGGGGGGGCGCAGGGGCGAAGCACTCATAAAACTGTTTTACTGCCATTGCATCCCATTCTCCGACAAGAATAGGCCTTTAATTCCACATCCACAATCCCCACATTATTTTCCCGGAGCTGTTGCAGCTGGGAAAAACAAGAAACAGCCGTGCAGGTTCCCTGAGGCTCAAGCCCCCAGCGTCCAAAGCGTCACACAGTTAAATTCATGTGCTGGACGAGTCCTTGGGTACATTAAAAATGACTAAGTTGGGAGCAGGGCTGATGAGAAGTATGAATGGTGAGGCAGCCGAGACCTTCTCCCCCTCGCCTCCTCACTGATGATCGATGAAACTGAGGCACGGAGTGTCCTCGACCGACAGAAGACAATCCTTCATTGCGTGGCCTTTAATTAGCTAATAGAATCCGAGCCCCGAGATCGCAGTAGCTGGAGCGGACTGAAAACCGGGCTCGGCGCTCTCTGACCCGATGCCCTTCAGATAGTCCGGGCTGAAACTTCCACCAAGCTCAGCCCGGCAGTCTTTAAACTCTGTATAATGTTTCTGGCACAAAGCGCCGTGCGTGTTGAGGGATGCTTGTTTATGGGGCACAGCAGGGACATGGGGAATCCGCAGGAGAGGGCCGTCTGTCCCGGCAGTCTTGGAGAGAGGCGGAACTCTCCGAGCCGGGCCGTCGTGTTTTCTTCCTCTTGCTGGCCCCCAGTGTCACCCGGACGGGAAAAGGCAAGCTGTCCAAAGGTGCCCCATGGAGGCACCGGGGGGGGGGGGGGGGCGGGGTCAGGCAGGGGGGCCTTTTGGGGATGGGGTGGGAGGGAGGCCTGCTGCCAGTGTGAAACGTGGCCATCACGCTCCGAGTGTCAAACAGCACCAGTGGCTTTGCAAAGACACCGCTCGAACGTGACCACGCAGCGGCTCCGGGCTGGAATTGGAGCTGGGCAGAAGTATCTCTGAAGGGCTTCGGTGAAAGCTTGCCTAGGACAGCTCTTCTCCTGGCCCTCTCCTCTAGACAAAGGCCACTCTGCAGCCACCAAAGACCACCCAAAAATGACACCGATGTGTTAAATTGGTTAGCTCCACTTTCTGGGAGAACCGGCTCTGCTGCATTCTGAAGGTCCCAGAACCTCGAATGACATTGATCCGGGCTGATGGATGCGTTTATCTGATTTGCACCCCATCTTTCTGCCACAAAATGGTGCCCAGGGTAGCTTACAGGCCCAGTGAAAAGGGAGGAAGAGAAACCAGTGGCTCTTTTTTAAAATGCAAGGAAAACGCAACTGCTGCAGAATAAAAACCGCATTGCAGCTGCATTTTGAGTCTGGAGGCCTTCTTTGTCAAGTGGTCCTGGGCTGACGGGGAGCAGCGTGGCCCGGGAGCAACCCTGAGAGGGTCCCCCTCCAGCTGCCTCCAGCAGGGCCTCTTCCGAAGACCTTGGGGACCCGGCAGGCTCGCTGGGCAAAGGCAGCTTTGGGCCGCCTGGTCCAAAGCAGGAGGGGGCTTGGCCGGAGTGAGCTGGTCATCACCAGCTCTTCGGATGCTGCCTGCCAGCCGTTGAAGCTGCAGCAACAGGGCAGGGAAGCCCCTCCGCCGCAGGAAGTCCCAGGGACCTGTGGCCGGACGGAGAGTCAGTCGCAGCAGTCTGCAGGGGCCGATGCCTGGCCGGGACCGAGCAAGCGCCCGCCGTCCTGCCTGCCTGCAGCTCTGTTCTCCCGGCTGCAGGGGTGCCTCAAATCGGCGGCGGCGGCGGCCCCTCAACTTGCACGGCATCCCAAAGAGGCGCCCGGAACGGCGGGGTGGCCTCGTGCGCCAGAGCGATTTGTTCCCGCTTGCTCTCTCAACACGTCTTTTTATAAAGAGAGTTAAGTGACGTGGCCCCGCCGGGGAAATCTGATTTTCCCGTGCGGTGATGGATGGCTGCACGCAGCTCAGGCAGCCGCGGTGGAGGCTGAAGTGGCTGCGGGCAGCAGGGACGCCATCCTGCCCCGTGCCACGACGCCGGTGCTGGCTGGACCGGATCCAGCCCCCCTGGAGGGCCGGCTGCGGGCCAAGGGCCACGTGCCCCCGTTCTGAGAAAGCAAGGAACGTGCCTACCTTGTTAAAGGGTTGCTGGGGGAGCAGGGGCAGCCCCCCCCCCCGGGCTGGGCTTCCCACGCGCCATGTCCTCTTGGAAGGGGTCCTCCCGCTTCTGTCCCGATGGGAATAGTGGTTTGGGGTTCTTCTTGGGGTTGGTGCCAGCAAGATCCTCGCAGGGGGAAAGGGCTAAGTCCTTCTCCGCCCCCTGGAGGACCCCCCCCCATCACGCTCACCCTCCTCCCACAGTGACGCTGACACTGACGCACCCTCTGCCCATGAATGGCTTTCCATCTGAGCCCCCCAGCAGTACGTAGCGGGGGATCTTCCCCCTTTCCAGGGCTCACCCTTGTCCTCTCCCCGGTCTTATCCGAAGGCCTGTGTAGCCCCGCAGACAGCTTGGTTGGGAAGGAGCCACTGCCTGGAGCCCACCCCTCTGGCCGCATGGGGGGGTGGACGCGGCCCTGGATCTGCCTGGGAGGGTCCCCTCGCTTGGGGGATTGGGTCTCTCTGTGGACTGCGCGAAACTTTCCTCCGTGGCTCTTGCTTTTGGGAGTAAAAATAGCAATTGCTTTTGTGACAGCATGTGGGAGACTCCGAAATGCGAGAGAGAGAGAGTGGGGGGGGGGGGGAGAGGGGGCACACGCACTGGGTGAGCCAGGAATGGCTGGCATTTGAGATCTGTCATGAGCCGTGTTTGATCGCTGTTACCTGCGAACGTAATTGTTTGGGGCCGAGATGCCACCCTGCTGAGTAACAAATACAAAATGGTCTCCCAGGAGCTCGGCCGAGTTTTCCTTTGTAATCTTTGAATGGCCGTTTTTAAAGCCTTCTCCCCTCCGCACCCCGTCACTGAGTGCCTTTGCATTTTATTTCACATCAGGGGAAGCTTTCCTTGGACGCGGGGGACGATCATCTGCAGGCGGCAGGATGAGGACGATGGGGGAGGACGGGGTTAGCCAAGAGGGGTGGGAGCCCCCTTTCTTCGCACGGCGACGAGGTGATGGGCTCTTTGGTGGTGGCCCCACTGCTGCCGGGCCCGCTCTGGTGGCAGCCGCAGGGTTGTCCTCCCAGCCCCAGTCTCAGGCACTTAAAGCCCGTCGCGTTTGCTCAGCAGCTCAGGCCCTGCGTCGCGGCACCGGCTCTCACGACTGCAGTGCGTTTTGTCGCGCGGCTCCTCCGCTCTCTTCTGCGCTTTATGGCGTGCTGGATGCTGGTGCTTTATTGTGATCTTGTATTTTTATTGCATTATCGTTCTGTTAGTATTACTTTTTAAATTGCACTGTGCAGAGAAATCCATTTCATGAAGCATTTAACAATGCAATACATAAATACGCAGCCAGACGGATCTGCTTGCGACGCCGTCAGGCCATTAAGTGGCTGCGGGGAGCGTGGGCCGAGAGGCACTTATCAGATAATGCATGGTGAGGAGGAAGTGGCCGGCGAGGAGCGCTCCTTCCTCTCCGGGAAAACTTGGAAAGGGATCGTTTGATGAAACGAGCAGGAGATTCAGGCAGAATGGCCTCCCCCTTCTCGCCATGATCCACAGTCTGGTGTCAGGTGGCAGAGCGACAGCCATCCGTCCAGGTGGGCTAAAAGGGGCCGAGATAGACTCATGGGGGGGAAGTCGCGTAGTGGCCCCCAGGGAGGGGGGCTGTACACCCCCCCAGGTTTCAGGGGCCTGGGCACGGGGGGGAGGGCATTGAGAAGTCAACGTCGGAGTTTTCTTTCTAAGATTGCTTGAGTACAGCGCGATCCAAAGGCCAGGTCAAGCTAGCTGGCTGCGTATCCCAAACGGTTCTGTCACAGATTCATGGAAGAGCTGGGTTGGACGGGGCGAGAAGGCCTTCGGGTCCAGCCCCCGCCTGGGGGAGGATGCCAAGTCCCGGAGCCGTCCCGCCCGGGGGGCTGCCCAGTTCTTCTGGAATGGGCCGTTTTGGGGAGCCCACGGCCTCTCCCGGCAGCTGGCTCCGCTGCTGCATCGCTGTGACGGTCAGGCAGTTTCTCCCAGTGTCCAGCCTGCAGTTGATGCTCATTTTACCGTGTCCTGCGCTCGGAGGAGTGAGAAGAAGTCCCCTCCGTGAACGCCTGTGAGGTACTTGAGTGCCGCCATTTACCCTCATACTCCCTTCTCACAGCTCAACGTGCCCGGCGCTCTCAGTCTCTTGTCATGGGGCTTCGTTTCCGGACCCCGGATCATCTTTGCCGCCCCCTTTCCAGTTCTCCTGCATCTTTTAAAACCTGGGCCCTCAGAACCGAGCACAGTGGTCCAGGGGAGGTTCGGCCAGTGCAGAGTGAAGGGGAGCGAGTGCCTCTCTTGTGTTGCTTCTATTTATGCATCCCAAAGTAGCATCTGCCCTTCTGGCAGGCCAGCTTGTATTTAGTTCGTTGCCTGCAACATCTCCAAGGCCTTTTTCTTTCCGTGCTGTCGAGCCAAGTATCCCCCATCTTGTATCGATGCATGTGGTTTTCTTTCAAGGAATCTGTTAGATACGAGCAGGAGTTACCTTCCTTTTCCCTGTCTTAATACCAAGGCCAATAGCACAGACCCTGACTGGCAGCCTCGGCTCTCCGGGGGCGTTTGGCAAGGGTCTTTCTTCCCAGCTCCGACTGGGAATCCTGCTTGGGATTTTCCATATGCCAGGCAGGCATGCTCTGACTGGCAGTGGCCCATCCTTAAATTTACGGGGGCTTTCTAAAGATGATTTCGCCTGCCTCAGCCTTGGCTGTCAGGAAGGGCTTTATCAGCTCGAGAGCGGCTTTGTGTGTGGGGGCGGCAGCGGGGGGGGGGGGGGTGGGACAGGCAGCAGCGGAAGCGCCTTTTATTGCTAACAATCTCCTCCTCCTTTTGTAACAAGGACCTGCTCTGAATGCTTTTTTAAACGTTTCCCCGTCCCTCCATCCATCTCTCCTGCTCTCGAGATGTAGAAGAGACGAGGGCAGAGAAGCATGAACCTTGAAGGAAGATCTCGGAGTCTCTTTTAAAAACAAATCCTTTATGTAGTTCCCTCGCTTGCATGGCCTTGGAAAGGGCTTGCTGTGGTTCGCCAGAGAATTAATTTCCACCTCTCCTTTTATAATTCCCCGGTGCTTTCATGGGAGTTTATTTGTTCCTCTTTGCCAGGAGTAGTCTTATGGCAAGAAAAGCCCCCGCCAGGAAGTCTGGCTGGGTCTTATTCCAGTATCAGGACAGCTGGGTGGAATCCAGGGACGGAGCTGGTGTGCTGTGCCTAGGAGATGCTGGGCAAGAGCTGAGTCTCGGCCCTCCGCGGGCCTAGGGGGTGGCTTTGGACCCCCCCCCCCCCAGCTGGACCTACTTCAAGGGTTGCCCCCAGGCTGAGAGGGCCGGGCAGAACCGCGGGTGCAAGACACTCAGTCCACGGAGGAACCGCCTTACGGACTGAATTGGGAAGGCGGGCAGAATGAGCTCCCCACTGATTTAATTTGGTCAGTAAAACACCCCCTTTTATTTCAGGAAGCTGGATGCCTTCATCTATGACGCTGCGGTGCTGAACTACAAGGCCGGGCGGGACGAGGGCTGCAAGCTGGTGACCATTGGCAGCGGGTACATCTTCGCCACGACAGGTTATGGGATCGCCCTCCAGAAGGGATCGCCTTGGAAGAGGGCGATCGACCTGGCGCTCCTGCAGTTTGTTGGCGACGGTGAGTCAGAGGGACGTGCTCCTTCTTCCGGGGTCTTGCAGAAACCGTTCTTCCCGCTCCTGTTGTCGCTGGGACCGAGGGCTTTCGCTCGTCTCCTCTTGCACAGAGCTGCCTGGGCAGGATGCCACACATTCATTTATAAAACGGCTTTAACCAGTTTGTATTTCTGTGTTTGCAGTTTGGGGAAAAAACGGTGCTGTGCCGCATTCTCTGTTCGGTGAGCTATACAAACTTCCCACGCAGCTTGGCTATCTGGCGGTGCAGAAATAAATGCTGCCTTCCATTCCTCTCCATGCGCCTCGCTCTCTGGGGTGCGGAGGGGCCCGAGTCCATTGCTCAAGAACTTCCTGGGCATCTTCCAGCTTTCTCGGTTGAGTTTCTGGCCTCTCCCATGGAAGACAGTTCTGGCCTAGACCTTGCACAGCGTTTAATCTCGCGTCCAGCCAGCTTCCTACATGAAACACACTAGAAGTGCGTTCAGGTGCTGTCGTTACAGTGGAGGCGAGCAACTGTCGCCCAGCCTGGGGCACACTCCCCAGCCCGCAAGTTGCGCCGATCCCCCGGGGGTGCTGGGCATCTCACTGGCAGCCTGGTCTGCAAAGACCCATTATGAGCAAAGCCCCAAACAGTTTGGGGGCGAGCGCCCTGAAGGACTGCTTTCTCCAGCACCAGCCGGCCTGTGCTCCGAGCTCACCATCAGTCGTTCAGCCGGAGCTGGCGAGGCAAAGACATGGCCTCCTTAGGACGGCTTTGCCCCTCTGGAAGGAGCGTCTGGCAGGGGCTCACCAGGGCTCCCGCTCTTTGCTGGCCGTTTCCCAGTTTCTGGACTCAAGCTTTACTTCACAGGCACTGTTTGTGCTGAACGTTACTGCGCTGTGATTGTCTTGGTCTTGCTCCCCGAAAGGCAACCTAAACTTTGGGTCTTGAGCACGGCTGTTGAGGACGAGGTGCTTTCGACGGCATCCCTTCATGGAGCTGCCAGGAGTCAAGGGCAGCTCAGCGGCTCAGAACCACCCAACACAAGCAGCGCCAGCCTTTTCTTTCAATTCCATGGTGTAACCTTTGCAGAAGGTCACACTCGCACCTCTGTCCTTTCCCCGGGTCCTCTCTGGCTTTCTGTTGAAGCCAGATAGCGCTTCCCCAAGCAGGAAAGCCGCGGAGAAAGCCAGGAGGATGGGAAAGGGAGGTGGTGGAGGCGGAGGAAAGACCGTCTCCTGCAAGGCCCGGGAGAGAATAAAACGCAGCGTCTTGCTCGGCTGTCCACCGAGCCTTGAAGAGCGGGCTATAGATAGCTGTTAGCTCAGGAGCCGCTTTGATAGCGATTCCTCGCTCGTGTCTTTCCAAGGAGAGCCTGATTTTGAAGCCAGTCGCTTTTGTACCCTGACGGCCTCCACGCATCGTGTGTGCGCAGGAGGCAGAGTCGCCGACGGTCACTTCTGGGCTCCTCGGGTCAGTGCGTGTGTTTCTAATAATGCTCTTCGTTCCTGGGATCACATCATTGGCGTCGTATCTAGGTCAAGTTCTTAATTTATCAGTTGTGTGCAGGGGCGGTGGGGGCAGCATCCGAGAGCATCCCGAGTCAGGCCGGCAGCGTGCTGAAGGAGGCTGCCGTTGGGGGCGTTCCCCCCACTCTGTATGCCTGTGGCCTTCGCTGAAGCCGAGCGTTTTGCACGGGGCGTCGGAGGGATGTGTCTTTGCGGTGCACTGCAGTGATTCAGTTCCTGAAAAAAATTCTCTTGGAACTTGCCTTCTCTTCCGCTGTGCAAGCCCTCAGAACCACCTGCGATTCACGGTTTGCCGTGCTGTGAACACCCCTTTCTGCCCACTAATTACATCAGCTTCCCAGCCCCCTCAAAACGGGGGATTGACTTATCGCCGACATTCTCTTTAAGCTATTTTCTGTTTATATAGAAACCACAAATCCAACAGCAGCCCTTTTTTCTTTTTTTGGAAAAGAAAAGACCGGTTTTAGCAGATGCACATGTTCCTTGGCTGTATAATTATTTAAGCGCTCTCATTAGCATCCGAAATTGGCTCATTTTTTGAGTGTGGATCAATGGGGTGGGCATGCATGGGTGAAATGAATTTTGCTGCAGTTATCTTAACGAACGTCTGTGCCCGAGTACAGGCTGCTTCCGGAGGCAAAGCTCCCAGCCCTGTCTGCCGCCTTTTCATACATTCAGCTCAATCGCTGAAACTCTCTGGGTGGTTCGCCCTCGTTAAAACCATAAAATACAACCCCAAGACAAAACACAGTGCTAAGTTTCTGAAACTCCAAAGCTGTACTATGAAACCACAAACCGAAGAATCCCTGCAGTTTAAGGAACTAAAAGGCAGCAGCTGTTCTTAAGTGCAGAACTAAAATGCCTAGGAGAACGAAACTGTTTTTCCTTAGCAGCAGAAAGGCTGCGTTGTGGGCGCCAGGCGAGTCTCCTGGCGGGGAGAATCCCACAGCGAGGGTGCCACCACGGAAAAGTCCCTCTCCCGAATGGCCAGCTACTTCCCCTCTATGGCACCTCCTGCTGCTCCCCGGCGGCCTGTGCGATTGCTTTGGTCCCGATCCTGCCAGGACCTGCAGATCTCGCACCAATCCTGCACGCACTCGCAGCCGGGCCGAGTGGCCTTCTCTGCCTTCCCCTCGTTGCGCTGCAGATCTGGACAGCCAAGCAGGACACACGGGGCTTTCTGTCTTGATTCAAGACCCACGTGCGTTCCCCGATTTTTTTGTCCGATGGGTCCATGAAAAAGAGCGAGCAAGGATGAGCACTTGGAAATATTTTTCTGTTCAGAAGGCCAGCCAGGCATCCTTGCGGGTTGCAGTTGGGGGCTGCGCCCCTCCATGTGCAGGGCGTGCTTCTGCACATGGCATGCCAGATCCTGCCTGGTCGTGGGAACTAAACATAGAAACATAGAAAACAGAGAGAGTCAGAAGAGGCCTCCCGGGCCATCTAGTCTGACCTCTGGCACCAGCCGGCTCCGCTCACAACATGCCCACCATGTGGACGCCCAGCCTATCCTTGAAACTAAGCAGGGTCAGGCCTGGTTGAAATCTGGATGGGTGACTTGCAAGATTGTGACCCTCCCAGAGAGCTTTGGCCAGGGGTGGTATAAAAATGCAATGCGATGATGATGATGAAGATGATAATATATAATAATAAGCTCCTAAGGAGATTTGTGGGCCCCCCTTTGGCTTGGCCTTCAGGAGAGCCCCCAACATGCCTTTTTTCCTTTCTCTTTTGGGGTGATTCTACGGCCCCATTCATTACTCTGAATTTCGCTATTGCTGCTTACTTCAATATTGCTTAAAAGTTGTTGTCGGCTCCTTTATTGCTTTAATATTTTGCAGTGTTATAATATATACCCGTTGCTTTGTAAGCTGTTCTGGGGAGGTCAATAGTCCAAAAGGCAGGGTAAAAAAAGGAAACAATAAAGGAATGAAATACAAGACGATCACACACTGCCATCTCCAGAAACTGACCAGACAAACACTCTGAGGAGCGATGCCTTCCTGCTTTCCACTGGGCAACCTCATCTGCTCTCCTGGGACTGGAAGCATCTTCCGTGCGCCACACACAGCACTGCCTGTTTCCCACGCCCCGGTTTTTCTTGACATGTGCAGGGGGCTCAGCAGCATTTGGTGGAGTGGGATCAAGGCAGGTAAAGTCAAGGAGAAGGCGTGGGGCAAGGCAGGCAAAGTCTGGCTCTAGTCGGCTCCGGGTGGAAACGTTGAGGCACAACGTTCAGCATCAAAGAAGCCCTCATCTCCAGAGGGCAGGTGAAAGCAGGACCTCGGATAGCTCCATGTGGGTCCTTCTACCAGGGCAATAGGAGAATGTTGTCTCAGCAGGGAGCAAAGCCACCGGAAACACACAGGTTGAGACGACCTGCAGTGTGGTTTTTCAATGCTGAATTCTGGGAGGAGCCTGGTTCTCCCAGGAACTCATCCTCTGCAGTAGGTCTGTGTGCTCTGGCCAGGGGACCCTGGATGAAGTGTTGGCTGACCCATCTGTGCCTCATCCCTAGCAGACCCTGGGATGGTCAGAAGGGCTAGTGGTCATGGCAGGATGCTCCAGTTCCCTGGTTTCCATATCCTAACCACGATCGCCTTGCTTTCTGTTTCCCTTGGTGTCTGTTCTCCAGGAGAAATGGAGGAGTTGGAGACGCTGTGGCTGACGGGCATTTGCCACAATGAGAAGAATGAGGTCATGAGCAGTCAGCTGGATATCGACAACATGGCCGGCGTGTTTTACATGCTTGCTGCTGCCATGGCCTTGAGCCTGATCACGTTTGTCTGGGAGCACTTGTTTTACTGGAAGCTGAGGTTCTGCTTCACCGGGGTTTGCTCGGATAGGCCAGGATTGCTCTTCTCTATCAGCAGGGTTAGTTTCATTTCTCTTCCTTTCACCCAGTAATGGCCAGGGTCCAAAGGACTGTAGTTCCATCTACTCTAGCCAGGAGTCTTTAGATTTAAGTCCCTAAAACTGCTTCCCAACACCCCCGTTCCTCCAAAGTCTGCCTGGCGAGCCCCCGTTGAAACAAAGGGAGGCGACGGTGCACATGTTCTTTATTTTATCTTGCTCACATTCTGCTCTTCCACCAAGAGCTCGGTGCGCTTCCTCTGTGGGCATCTCGTTCATGCGCTGGTCCGGGTGGGTCTTTCTTTGCTTTAGAAGTAGAGCCAAGTACCTTCGAAGGGATTTAAGAAGAACCCTGCTGGACTGGACCATGTGTCGATCCTGTGCACCGTTCTGTCCACACAGTGCCTTAACCCCTGCACACTTACCTTGCCGTTGATCCTGGGGGGTGAGTGGCCACTGGTGGCTCTTCTTCTCCATGGATGGCTTCAGTCTCCATGGTGACCATCACTCAGCCAAGTTAGAAAGTCAGGCAAAGAGAAGCCAAGAAGAGCCTTAGAAAGCACGGGACCTCCTGCCCGGCCAGAGGAAGGCGGGTGCAGGGGTGGCCGGGCAGCTGTGCCCGGGGAGCGAGTTCCAGAAGTGAAGGCAGACGTGGCGGAACCCTTGCCCCACCCGCGAGCCGACTGCACCTCAGTGGATTTGGGTGTCCTCCTGAGATAAAGAAGCTAAGAGCCAGTGTGGCATAGTGGTTGAGAGCGCGGGACTGGGACTCAGGCGATCTGGGTTCGAGTCTCCGCTCAGCCATGGAGCCAACTGGGAGGCTTTGGGCCAGGCACAGACTCTCAGCCCAACCTGCCTCACAGGGTTGTTGTTGTGGGGATAAGATGGAGGAGGAGATGTACGCTGCCTTGAGCCCTTTGTAGGAAAAAGGCAGGATATGAACCGAAAAATAAATGAATAAAAATAACTAGGAGGTGGGGAAGGGGTTGTGTGGGGTGACTGGGCCTAGGCCACTGAGCGCTTTCCAGAAACCTGGAAAAACTGCTCATTTGGAAAAGGATGTGGCATCGTACGGATGACTACATCCAGGGCTCCGGCCCTTGGCACACTGGACAGCTCCGTGTGCCAGCCTTTCGCCCTCCAGCTCCACAACTTGGAGCAGCCCATCCACCCGAGGCTGACGCCTCCGGCACAGAATGAAAAACGGAGCCGCTCAGCCACATCTTCACAATTAACCAGGCAGCTTCAGTAAGTGTAATTAGCATTAAAAATGAAGTCATTTGTCCCGCAGAGAGGAAGCCCACTGTTTTTCAGAAATGATTGTGCAACCAGTGGATTTTTTTTTGAAAAAAATCAAATAAATCATTTATTTATATACAGGCTGTAAATGTGCTGATGTTAAATCTTTGGCAACTTCCGGTGGTGGATGTGGTCCTCCTTCTCCTTTTTAATCACTTAATTGACTTTGCAATTCTACCCTTGCCAAAGTGTTTGGAAAATAATTGGATGGAACTATTAAGCAATGTGACTAATTTCATGAGAAGGGAGAGAGAGAAACAGGGCAAAATAGAAAAACAACACCATTCTATCTCTCCAGGATGCTGTTTGAGGGCTGTCTTAGTACACACAGTGGCTTTCCAGGTGTGCAGTATTCAACAAAATTCAAATTGATCATGGTTCTTTGAGTTTCACCTAAAAATTCTTTCCGAATGGTGTTTGAATCAAGTTGAAGCAGCTTGCAAGTGCCATTTTTCCTTCCTTCTGGGATGAAAGCCTTTTCACATGCTCATTTCTCTAAACATGCACATCACTTCTGTACAATTTTGAGATGTACACCTTTCCCTTCTGCATATTTGGGCATACACACCAATTGCTTTGTGGACTCAAAGATCTATGGACTCACACGGGTACCGGTTATAAAAAGAGTGGGTATATCGCAAGCTGGACTTGAAGGCTGGTTAGTCTGGCCGTTGGTAGACTTGAGAGGTGATGGCATGGCTTTGCTTTTTTTTCCTGCGGGGGGGGGGGGCAAAATTACGCTAGATTCTTGGCCTGTTGATACTCATTAGATGCAAGAGGAAACGTTGCAAGAACCAGTTCCTCTGCTACTTTGATAACTGCTAGCAGTGCTTGTTTTGCTGTTCATATCAAGCAACCAGGTCCACATTCCTTATTTATTTCTTAAATTTCCAGAGCGTGCAACTGCAAATATCCTTGGGAATTTTTGCAATCGTACCCCAAAGCAAGCACCCCATAGAAAACAAAAGGAAAAAGACAACTATACCAATATCAAAATAATACAATATTGATCAGTCAAACATCAAAGAGGCAGCAGTAAAATTAATAAACCAAGGGACGTATTCAAGATTAAATGGTTGCTGGAACAGGAAGGCCTGAGCCAGCTGTCCTGCCCAGAAGTCTCTTTCCTGGGGAACCCCTGTGGCCCACAACGAGCCACTGGGCCCTCCCTTCTCACTGCTGCAGGTTGCGGCAGGAGCCAACATCACGTGGGTTGGGGGCGGAGCAGCTTGAGGGGTTTCCCAGAGCCCTGCAGCTGATCCCTGTGGGAGGCGAGGCGGGACCAGGGGGTTCCTCAGTTGGATCGCTCCAGGGTGACGCCTCTTTTGTTCCTAAGCTGCATTCCAGCAGCCCAGTGGGAGAGCCCTGAATGGGCCGCTCACAAATGAAGGGGCCCAGTCTTTGAGTGAGAAATGACGTGGGACTCACTTTCCCGGCCTACTCTCAGCTTGAGCCATCTGCCGTTTCCAGCCCTAGATAGCACCCCTTGGCACAGGCAGCGCTGCCCCGCTCCAAGGGCTGCTGGCCTGATCTTCACGGCGGCCACCATGTTGCCCCATGCTTCTCAACTTAGTCCTAGAAACAGAGACCAGTGCGGAATGTTCGTTAGCGTTCCCTTGACGACCTGGTGATTTGACCTGCCTTCTGTTCTGTGTTGCGACCACTGCAGGGTATCTACAGCTGCATCCACGGAGTGCACATCGAGGAGAAGAAGAAATCCCCCAGCTTCACCCTGACAAGTTCGCAAACCAACATGCTGAAGCTCCTGCGGACAGCCAAGAACATGACCAACCTGAACCCCTCGCGGATGAACTCCCCCAAAAGAACCACCGATTTCATTCACAGGGGGTCCCTCATCATGGACATGATGATGGATAAGGGGAATATAATCTTCTCGGACAATAACAGGCCTTTCCCACCAAAGGAGAACATTTTCGGTGACAACATGAGTGAGCTGCAGCCATTCATGGGCAATCGGCCCAGGGACAACCTCAACAACTATGTCTTCCAAGGGCAGCACCCACTCACGCTCAACGAGTCCAACCCGAACACGGTGGAAGTCGCCGTCACAACAGAAGCCAAAGGCAACTCACGGCCGAGGCAGCTGTGGAGGAAATCCATGGAGTCGTTGCGCCAGGAATCGCTTCGTCAGAGGGACAACGATTCCGATGAAAATCAGCAACACTCCTTGAAGGGTCCGAGGTACCTCCCGGAAGAGATTCTTCACTCCGACGTTTCGGATACGTCCAGCCGAGCCACCTGCCACATGGAGCCCGAAATCAACCACAAGCACCACAAGTTGAAGGACAATGTGAAAAAGAGGCCTGTCTCCAAACACCCGAAGGACTGCAGTGAGGTGGAGCTGACATATCTGAAGAATAAGCAATCCTTGCCCCGGGATAAAATTTACATCATAGATGCCGACAAAGAGCGTGGCTTTCACTTGGATGCTCCCCAGTATATGGAGAACATCATTCTTCCAGAATCGCTGGAGTTCTCCGATGTTTACCAGGATCACAGCAACAGCTACCAAAAGGAGGAGCAGAGCGAGAGGACTCCCTTACCAAATGAAGAAGGTCTTCCAAGCAGCGACCAGTACAAACTCTACTCAAAGCACCACAGCTTGAAAGATAAGAACGTGTCCTTGGGGGAAGCCAACGACAGACACCGGCCGAACGTCAGCCACTGCCGAGGCTGCCTCTCCAGTCTTCCCAGTTACGCCGGGCACTACCTGAGCCGTTCCCCCTACCGGTGTGACGCCTGCATGCGGATGGGGAACCTCTATGACATTGACGAAGACCAGATGATGCAGGACACCAGCAGCTCCACGCAACGGGAGGGCACGTACCGGCCCGACTGGCTGCAGGCCAACAAAACGCAGCCTCCAAAGAAGAGCAAGCTGAAGATCAGCAGGCAACATTCTTTCGACAACATTCTCGACAAGCCCCGGGAAACGGAGGCCGGGAGGCCATCTCGGAGCATAAGCCTGCGGGAGAAGGAAAAGTTTCTGGAAGGAAGTCCTTATGCAAACCTGCTTCACACCCCTCAAAGCAAACTCTTGAGTAACACGGCTCCGCTTTTCACACGCACTCTGGACGATGGTAAGAGGATCAGGTCCCTGTATTTCGACTGCTCTGCAGAGAACTCTTTTCTGCACCCTTATTGTGACGACCAGCATTTGGTTCTCGGGCGGAGCCCCGCAGGCCTTTATAAACCATCATTAACCGCGAAAGCGAGGAATGATAGTTACTCAAGGTCGTCGATAAAATCGACTCCCTCATACTGTTCCAGAGATGGCCGGGTCCTGACCGACATGTACATTTCGGAGCATGGAATGCCTTATGTTGCAAACCAGAATAGTGTGTACTCAGCACCAAGAGTTTTAAATTCCTGCAGCAATAGACGCGTGTATAAGAAGATGCCCAGCCTTGAATCAGATGTTTAGCTTTTCCATTAACACTTTTGTCTATAGGAAAACATAGTTGCCAGCATCCAGAAGGCAAAGAGGAGGCCCCTTTAGCCGCATGGTGGATATCAAGGATCTGCAGCGCTTTCCTTGCCTTGAATTCGAACGTCAGCCGGTTGTGCAATTAGACCCAAAAGATACAGCGGGAAAGAAAAATAAGAAGCGAATTCCTCCTTCCAAGGGCATGTCTATCCTACAGACATCTATTGGTTTTATACTGCTCTTAACTCTCACAGCTTCCCCTAAAGCTTCCAGGGAATTGTAGTTTAGTGTTGGTGCTTGGGGTTCTGTATTACAGATTCCCTGTATCCCTTGCGGAGTCAGCATCCTCTGGGAAGAGGGAACGGCCTTCTTTCTTCTTTCAGTCCATAGCATAAATATGCCCTTTGGGATGGATCCATGCTTGTCCAAAATGGCCACCACTGACGGTCCTTCCTGCAAGAATCGCCCCGAGACATGTTGGCAACTATGCTCTTTTTCTACTAGGATGGTCATTTGCCCCGGTCCATTGGACTGAACCCTTCTAGCACTTTCCCCTGATGTAATTCTGCCCTCCCAGACCTTTATTTTTTAATAGCAAATAAGCAATATGGTATGCATGTACTTTTAACACAGAACAAAAACAAAACAAGTTAAGAATGCATCCGCACACTGACCATGACACGACTTGTCCAAGCAATTAGAAAGTTAGCCTTTTTTTAAAAAAAGAACAAACAGCTATCTATCGTTCTATCTGATATGATTTTTGTCGCATCTTTGTTTTTAAACACAGTCGAGCAAAAGCAAAAAAAGAAAAAAAAAAGAAAAAAGAAATCCTCAGGGCCCTTGAACGGAAACAAAATTGTGTTCATCTTTGTCTGTCTTACAGAGACCAAGGCGTCAACCCACCGTGGACTCCTCCCCCGCCAAATCCCATTGAAGGGAATGGAAGTGTCATAATTGCTAATTGAGGTCTCACGGTCAGATAGCAGCTCCGAGTTGGGCGATGTGGAGGCGCACAACCAGGAAGGGGGACCTGCCCCAGGAAGGCCATCCCAGGACAGGCGAGGGCAGTCCCGGCCCCCCCCTAAGATGGCACAGACCCCGCTGGCTCACGCCGAGGCTGGGCGGGGGCTGTGGGCGACCTTCCCTGGGGCCCAGTCTGGGGTGAGCTGGGAGCCTAGAGGGCAACGGGAAGGGGCCCTGCTCTGTGGGCCAGGTGGGAAAACGGGACCCGTCTCCTGGCGTTTCTCAGGCTTGGCCGGCCTGGAGAGCTGTGACTTCCAGCGTATCAAAGGGGCTGACCTGCGGGCATTTTTGTTCTCCGTCACTCTGAAATAGGCACAGAGGTCTCAGTGGCCTCGTCCCCAGATAGTGACTCTACCCAGGGAGCAACCAGCCGCAGGGGAAAGGTTGTCTTTTGTTCCCCATCCACCCATGTGAGAGTCCAGGCCTGTGGGTGGTGGTCAGAAGCTCTCCAGAAGTCTGAGCTGCGGAGTTTCTCTCTCCTGCTCTTCTCCCAGGGTGGAGCCATTGGCTGGTTCCTCCACATAACAAGCACGCGGGAACACTCCTCGGATAACGCCCATTCTTTTTAATGAGCCTGGAGCCTGTTTGCATATTACAGCCCCTTTTTCTCCTAGGGCCACCATCTTTCTTACTGCCCTTTTGCCTTTCTAAGAGACGTTGCCGGGATATGAATACCTGCTGGCATGCAGATGCAGGGCAGAAAAAGCTTTTACTTGATAAAACCAGGAGCAGGGCAGACACCTTGGGAAGAATCCTTTGAGGAAATTTAAAATCATTCCGGCTGGTAGGGGGTGACTTGGACAACCGGCCCTCTTTGGGATAGGCACATAAATCTCTCACCGAGTCGTAGCGGCTGCTGCATGAAGATATTTTAAAACAGCCTCTTTCTGGTCACTGTGATGCAGCCTGCACTCCCTACTCAGGAGGAAATGATCGATGCAGGATGGAATTGCTGGCGTTTCAGCATTCGAGCCAACCCGGAATGGGAGCACTTTACGATTAACCCTAACCCTAACCCTAAAACACTTTAGTCTCAAAGGAACCTTGACTCCGGAGGGGATGAGGGTGGATTCAGACATTGCGAACAGTGCAAGAAGGGTTGCTGAGGGGGGGACATTTCCCAGCCTCGGGGCATCAGCTTGGATCTGTAATGTTTGTAAGGGAGAACTACAAAGATGAAGTGAACATACCCAAGGTTGTCATTGCTCATGTGAGGACTTATTAGACAACTTGTCCTCCTGCGCATTGCAGCTGCAACCGGGGGTCCTCAGCACCTTCCGCTCCAAGGGCCCCTCTTGTCAAGTCTAAATCTACCCTAATTTCCAGGGAGTCGATTCTGGAGAGACCAATTTGGAGACTGAAGCCAAAAATATGGAGAGAAACGTAGGCCCAACTCAGTGCACGTGTGAGTGGTTTACACTGGCATCCAAATGCTTTCGTTGTATTTCACAGATGCTCGTTTTGTAATGCAATCAGTTTGTAGAAAATCTCCACCATCCAACTTTCGCAGCTTGATCTCCACAGCTGTGGAACTAACCATGTTTAAGGCCTGGTGTATGGAGTGTGCATCTTTCAAGCTGTAGACGTCGTAATCTGACTTGAAACCTACATGTGTACACAACTTTGTGTCTCCCCCTCGTTGGTGATGAAAACTCAGGGCTGTATAGTATCTCTCTTCCTCTTGTTCCTCCACATTGCTCCGAAAAGAACCCCTACCGCTGTCACCAAACCGTTGTGGCTCATCTGTTTACAACCCAGTTGCTGGTCCCATTTCGGTCAACCACCTGTCATTGTTGAGTATATTTCTTACTGTATGACACCAACAGCCATATATGTTGATAGGACTCAATCAGGAATGCAGTAGTAATCTTGTTTGCCGGTTGTCTGGAAGTTTAACACCTCTTTATAGTGACTTGCTTTCCTTCCGGCTACATCTTCTATGTATGTATGTATGTATGTTTGATCATTTTTGACTTCTCTAAGGAAGCTCATTTTAGCTGCTTAACGTAGAACAGGCATAATTCTGTAGTTATGGAGTCACATCAGTTTTTAAAGCAGGGAAAGGGTAACACAGACCTGAATTGAACTGTCCCAGTTTTTGGTTGTCATGCTGGTTTCGGTATGGACGTGGTGGTGGCCGAAGTTAAGCTGTCCGCACTGGATGCCGAATGTACTATTTAGACAATATAATCTACCCTTCCAAAATAGAGTTCCTTTCCTCGAATTTACTGGAAAGTAATTTGTGAGTTGTTTCTTCAAAGCGTCTCAGAGGTTCATTTTAAGGAGTTAAAATGGGAGCAAGGGTGACCCAAGCTGATCCTGGATTACTCAGAAGTAAGCCAGGCTGCATTCTGGGGGTTATTTCCAAGTAAGTGTGCAGAAAATGCACCTTAGACCCCCAACCTCCAGCTACCATCATCCTCAACTGGTGACCATGCTAGATGGGGACAATGGGCATTGTAGTCAAACACATTGGGAGGAAGCCAGTTAGAAGAAGGCTCCCTTAGCTATGGCCCCAGAAGAAAAACAAGTTTCGTTTTTCATCCTGTCTGTCCTTTGCTTCAAACGTTCATTCTCAATTCCTAGATTTATAAAACCTCCATCATTAAGCCATTTCCTCTAAAGTAAATCTGATAAAATCGATGGCTTCCCCTATAATACGCAGTCTGAGGATCACCCACATGCTTGACTAATCTGAACGACCTTGTCCGGAGAACCTAAAGTGCCGAGTTTCTCGGGGTCCTTGCGGGCTGTTTTCCTGACGAAACCAGCGTAGGCTTGTTCCCATCAGGCCGAACGAGTGGGCGCTACGCCCTGCCGCATGGCAGAGCCCCCTTTGCGAGACACGGACATTTCCAAAACCAATGATGGTGAGGCATGATAGAGAAAGGAATCCCCTCCCCCTCCCCTCCCCTCTCTCTGGGGTGTGTGAGAGTGAGAGTGCGTGTGTAATGGAAGCATGCAGACCTTTCAGCATTGCCTAATGCGGCTTCTAGTGATATCCTGGTCTCGTGTAGACCCCAGTGACATGCTGCCGTCGGCCCGATAGGCGGGGCTGGGCACCACCAGGGGGTCCTTCAGCCTACACACTCCTTGTGCTGTCTGAATGGGACCCCCAGTGGCTCTCACCCACCCCTTGGAGACCCCAGTGGGCAGGGGAGACTCTAGTGATTGATCTGCTCACTATCCCAAAGCCGCTTGCAGGGGAGAAATTGAGCCAACCCACCACTGGCCACGGCCTCACACCCGTGGCTGCGGCCACTTTGGAGGAGCTTCTCTGCTGGCTAGTCGGTGGCCCAAGCAGCTGCCGCCAGAGTCGGTGGCAGAGGGTGGCCAGGTTGCCCACCTGGGTGACCAGCTCGCGTCGATAAGCTCAGAAAGCACCTCGGCCTTCAGTAGAGCGTGTCTCATCCGAGCGGGGACTTTGCGGGAAGGGTGACCTTTTCCTCATGATGCCATTTCTCCGAGTAGCGTCGTTACAGAGGTGACTGAAGTAAGGATTTTGCACTAAGTGAAGCTGCAGCTTTTGATACAGAACTCACCCAAGTTCCAGAAGCGAGTGTTTACAGTATTTTTAATGGCTTTTAAGATAAGTTTTTGAAATTTATTTTTCTCTGCCTGCATTTTGCACTGGAAAAGTCAGCCTGTGCTTGTAATAGCTTGGTCGCCATGGATGCTTGGCACTGTGAAAAGAAAGTGTTTCATGTGGACAGACAAACTGGTGGGGTGGGGAGCTAGGAGTGCGGCAGTGGCCGTTCCCACCGGTGTGTCGTGCCACGGTTTCTAGTTGGATCCCCAATTCTGCTGTATGGATGGTCAGGCAGGTAATCCTACCAAGGAGTTGCCGGGATCCAATGAGGTTCGTTGGTCTTCCCTATTTCTGCAAAGTTATAAAATCTCCCATAGAAATCCAGACACTTAGATAATGCGAGCATTACAGAATGCTCGTTCTGTTGCTTGTCGTTGGTGAG